GGTTTTTCTCACCGATTCAGTCGTCGGTTAGTCTTTGGTTTTTATATGTATTTTCCTCTTATCTCTTCTGTTGACGTTTAAAGAGACAAATATTTGCCTTTTTTCCTCTTATCAAATGAACTTCTCTATCAATATGTGTTGGCTTTTTAATTAAATAACCAAAATGAGTGCATTTTTCTGTATTTTATTTTCCATATTATATATATTTTTATAATTTTTATTTTATGTTTTAATAAAAATAAAGTTTTTATAAAATGATTAATCATGTAATCATTTGAGATCTGATGTTATCGTAAGCATAGGGACAGTACTGGTAAAGCAGATAAGAGGCGCTATAGGTTTGCCAACGCTATTACAATGCATACACGAGAACAATGTGTGACATTATATTAAACCACATGTATATGTCATATATAATTAATTTAATGATAAATAGTTGTAATAAAACATGGTTTAAATACTTAAATAATATAACTAGTGAATATAGCGGTAATCCATGCACTAAAGGTGATGCACAAGCGTTTGTATAGCATTTACAATCAACCCATATAGACATGTATAGCGTAATAATATGTGTGTTAAACATGTGCGGCGCCATGGCTTAGTTGGTTAAAGCGCCTGTCTAGTAAACAGGAGATCCCGAGTTCGAATCTCGGTGGTGCCTTTTATATTTTTACTTTTTTGTGTGCATTTGCTTGTTTAATTTTTTTTCTTTCGTAACACATTTATTTTATAAATAATTAATTAGTTAATTACAAAGGTAATTAATTAGTTAATTACAAAGGTAATTAATTAATATATGTTATTTGTCATTAAATTAATTACATACAAGTGGTTACAGTCATCTATTAATTATTATAAATACACTATTATATACATCTAAAATACTAATTACACAACATGATAAATATAGCTTTAAAAATAGCTTCAACATAACGTAATAGAATATAAAATTGACTTTTTATTGAATGATTGCGATTTTAATAAGTGTTTTTACAAAATAAAAAACAAACAAAAAATAACTACCGTAAATCTATTTATCATTAGTAGACATAAAAATCAAATTTATTTAACTGTATTAACAAATAAAAAATATTAAATATAAAAATGAGAATTTATTAATTCAATAGATATATCGGTGTTTTTGTTTGTCAAAAAGTGATGATCAAAACCACATGTATTTATAATCGGGGTTTGTTTTCGATGAGAAAAATACTATAAAACAATTTTCTATTTTTTCAGTCAATTATATTTGTTGAGCACTTCGTTTATATCTCTCACTAAACACTTTGATATATGTTTTCACACTTCAAAAAATATCAACTATTCATAAAATAACAGAAAAATAAATGCATTCTTCACTCTTTATATAGTTCTCTATCAATATATCGAACACTAGTTTTCATAATAAAACTTAAAATGAAAACTCTTTTCACAACTCGTTTATAAAATCCATATAAATTCCGATTCACAACAATTGACTCGAAATAACACACTATTTGTTTCAGTGAGAGAAATAAAAACCATTATTTCGTTGATATTCGTTATAAAATTCATTTGAAGACAATTCTGGCGTAAAACCAATAGCCGCGCCATTCGTTACGATAATGCATACGATATGACAACTTATATAAATAGCTCTTATATTACAAGTTAACGTGTGTTTTGCCCGAAAAGCCTAACTATTTGTTCATAAAATAAGTATTTGTTTGCAAAAAATAAAATTTAATTCTTGAATTCTTCGATTCTTGCGATCACATCGTTTAGCGTTACAATCGATTTGAATTCTGGATTCAGTCCAATGTGTCGGACGGCCGACCCATTTGTCCGCACATTTAACACATTCCAGCTCTCAAACAGTTTCACCGCATTCTTGAACGGCTCGGCGGCTATACATTCCTCTGCCATACAAAACAAACAAACAATTAATTTCAATTCACTTCAGTGTTAAAAGTGTGTCAAACACTAGACATACCGTGAAATATGAGTCCTTTCTGTTGCTTCTGTTTCGCAATGTCTATCATTCGGTTGAAGAATGACTTCTCGTCCAGAGAGTCGACACCAATGAGTTGTGTGAGCGCTGAGGCCGCGACCCAATACGACTCAATATACGAGGACAGCACCGACCGATAGAAACTGATTGTCTGCTTATTCTCGTCGCTCAACACCAGCCGAAGCTCGCGTTTTGTAAACCCGTTTCTGAAGCCCACGTATCCGTCGTCCTCTTCCTCCTCGTCGAAGTCAAACTGACGATAGCGTTGTCGGAGCTGAAGGTCGGACGACGGGTTCTTAATGGCCTCACATAACACACCGTAAATGACATAACTCTCGATTTTGTCCATTATTAGGTCCCGTATGTTAGCGCACGGCTTCAGTTCAAAATGTAAATAAAAGTGTTAAAATTATTTATAATGTCCGCAAAGTGTATGCAATTATATTAAGTTAAGGGGAGGAAAGGGATGACATACCGGTGCGAAGACAAAGTCGTTGTGAAGTATTTCGCAGAGCTCTACCGATTTGTCAACCAATTCATTGAAATCAATGGTTATATTGCTCTCCATATTATCGCCACAAGCGGTCAGAGAT